TCTCTCTCTCTCTCTCTCTCTCTCTCTCTCTCTCTCACGTCCCGATATGACAATTCAATTTACGTAATTAACCAAGCGGAAAGAGTTTCCGGTGTCAAAGACTCACCTATGCTCGGCGGCGCGGTCTCTCTGCCTCCGATTTTTGAACCAATTGCTGACCTGCGTGGTCGTGAGGCCGGTGCTCTCCGCCAATTCTCGCTTCTCGCGCGGCGACGGATACGGATTGGTGGCGTACCAATCCCTCAGGACGCTCCTGGACTTCTCCTTGAAGCAGTAAGACGTCTCCTCGCCGTCCCAGATCGTCCGCGGTAGCGGAAACTTACGTCGCACTCGGTACTTGCCTGCGAAATAAAGGACGAATCCCTCCGGATGAGTGCGGGGACGTTGATAGAACGCCTTCGGGAGAACGCGCATTTTTAAACAGTTTTGCGAATATCACCTTGAGAATACCACCACGCGAGTTTACACCTCGTGTCTTTAAATACGCACATTTTCGAAGCCTCCAAGATAAACATTCACCCGGACGAGTGAAAATTTGCATCGCGAGCGTAGATTCGCGATGCCAGGAAAAACGGAAGAGGAAGCAGCGCACTTCGATCCTCTTAGCTCTTCTCCTCGTAGTCTCTCAAGAGCGACACGCTTTGATCTATCTTTTTAGGGGGGGGTGGGGAGGGAGGGGAGGAGTTGGAGTTGGTTTCTGGGACGAGCAACCGGCGGTGACATCGTCGTCGTCGCCGTCGGCTTCGCGCGCGCCGCTCGCGAATAAGATCGAGCGTAGTAAAATAGAGCCAAGTTTATATCATCAGCTCGTCAAGCTCGTATCGTGCGTGCGATAATCACTTCGTCCGTCCGTTTGGCTGTCGGTGTCGAAATCGCGCGCGTTGTTATTAATCACCCCGCGCGAAAATAAATGCGGCAGCATGCGTAAAATAGCAAGATAACCGTCAGTCGCCGATGTTGTTCAAGTTGTTTAAGTTGGTTTAATCGACAAAATAGTAGTCTATATAGGATCGGATAAGCTCATTGTTTCATTGTTTCATAAATAAATTATTAAAACACGTAAAATTATAAAGAAATCGCTTTACTGTACATAATTATTAACGTTTCAATGATAACACTGTTATGTCTTATATATTTTCTATATCATTAATTTAATGAGAAATGTGACCCACACATTTTTCGTGTCCACTTGGAGTTGGCTCTATTCTTTAATGGAATTGCGAGAACAGAACACCTCTTACACTTTCAACGACTCTTTACTCTACGTGAACGTTGTATGATTAATTTATCTGCTTCCCGAGTAGCTATCGAACGTATTATATTTCTACAACTATATCTCATCGATCAACTTGACTAGTTTTTAAGTGTGAGGACAAGATCAACGAAGTCATACACTTTCTCAAGCTATTTCTCTGTAAAAATATTCTATCAAACTGAATTGTTGATGAAAATAGAAAAAACGCTTTCAATAAGTAGATTAAAGTCATTAGGAAATAAATTGAGAGACTCACGTCGTTGGAAGAACTTTTATTTTATCGAATTCATTTTTAAGTAACGTTTATCGATCTCGACGTTCTCGAGAAAAAAGATTAGATTTGTTTGAAAAATGTTTACTAACCAACTGCACCGAGAGGCCTCCCGCGCAGCCTCTCGGCCTCGATGTAGTGAGCCTTGAGCCAGAGGGCCTGCAGTTTCGGATGATTGTTCGGGCTGAAGGTGTGGCTCTCCAGGATCCTGTAGAGCTCCTTGAATTGGCCGCGATGGAAGGCGACGATCGCCTTGGCCTTGAGCACGCTCTCGTGCCGGTGCAGCCTGGTGCACGCCGGCAGAGACCATAGAAATCGGCTGAGCCTCTCCACGGAGCCTGCCTGCTGGAGAACCTGGACATTCGACACCATCGCCTTGAAGACGATAGACAGGGGGGGCACACTGTTAGTCGGCAAAACTCATCCCGGGTCTCCTCTTATTCTAGTGTATCTTGTATATGTCTCATATTCGCCTCTTTCCGCCGATCGTTTCGTTCAAGGAAGACAGGTCGAACAACTACCGGTGACTAACGAGGCCAGTTTTTCGAAACATTTTCGAGTAAAGGAGGATTTTGCGAGAATTAGGATGAGGATGGAAGGTTGTAACGATTGACACAGATCGCAACACTCTTCCAAAGATTTCATCGGCACATTAATTAAAATGAAAAAATAAAATCTAGATTTTATATAATTTAATTTAATTTTTCATACTTAGAATTTTTAAGTCGGAAAGATTAAAATATATTTAATTTCCTTCGGTCCTTCGGAAGAAAGTGGTATGTTTTTGAATTTAACTCTTTAAATATTTATTATTGTGTATATATGTGTAAAAATTATTATTAAAACTAAAGATAAATATTGAAAACTAATCTAATGATCTAAAATTATATAAAGAAATTAAAAAGAAAACAATCGAATTAATTCTGATATTTAAATATAATCTACGAATTAAAGAAAAGATTAACTTTAACAAAAAACTAATTTGAACAGATCTCTCGATTACATTT